TGTTTCCCGTCTCATTACACTCTTACGTTTCGCATCATTCCTTTCAGCCTCCATTAGCACACTTTCGCACATATATATTTCACTCTCAACCCGTTATGCACATTACCTGCGCCTAGGCTCCCTATGGAAAATCGAACTTATAGACAAACTCGTCACAAGGACACATCTGACCGAAATCAAATACGCAGCAGGACTTTAACCAGCCGTCGCCCTCTTGTTCAGGGCTGGACTACCTCGAGATACCAGCCCAGGCTGATATCCGGTAAGCTTGCTTTTTCGGTCTTAAGTTTTGGCCCCCAAGGCCATTGCCACCTGCACACCTGCTTTCACCTACTAGCGCGGTTTTGACCGTTTGATCTTGTTTTCCCTATTTACTGTTAACGAACATGTTGTCAAATCTCGGGCTCGATACCTTTTTATTCTCCGAAATTTGTTTCACTTGTTCCACACACATCATATCCTTGCCTTTTTGTACTTGCTGTGCTGCACCCCCAGTACCTACATACCCCTGAGATATTTCCGTTCTGTTTTCCTGTCGGTTTTTCACGCCATGCACCCGTCATTTCTTCTCTTGTCTTCTAGAAGGAAGCACAGCAACGATGTGCTGCTGGGTGGACTGGAAAAAGGAAAGAAGAGGATATGCAAGGAATGAAAGGAAGAGCCCCTCACCTCCCCCTTACCAGCAAAGCATACATAATACCTTTTTTTCTCGTTGATTTTTTCTCTTCCGGAATTTGTTTCTTTCGTTTTTTCCCTTACCGCATCTTGATCTATCGCGCTCTCTTCTCTGCCCTTTCCACCTCTTCCTCGCACCCCTACGAAAGCACCCGTGCGTCACGGCAGTGGCTGCATGTTCAACCAGTCCTGTCTGGGTTTTACCTCTGTGGACTGCGCGTTTGCCCGACTCATGCGGTACACCTACAGTCTGTGTGAACAGCAGTTCGCTCGAATGCATTACCTCCACCGGCTGTGTATCACAGCGCCCGTTGTCTGTCTCACAAAGAAACTCGGTCGCACTCTCGGAATTGTTGTGCGGCGTAGACAAATGCGCACAGCGTTAGCGACGCTTGCGAGGACCTGTCTACTCGTCTGTTTTGTTTCTCTCGGATTTCCTTTCACTTTCCCCACTCCTGGCGTTCTAGTTATATCTTGTTTTTGTAGGACAGGCCCTTCATTCATATCTCTTCTACTGACGAGGCACCAACCGTCTAGATACAGTCAAGAGTCCAATACTTCCACACTGAACCTCGACAGCTCGACGCAGTCGACGGGAGTCATAAGTCTATATTCCCCCAGCCAGCCGTCGGTTTTCAGCCAGGCCACCACGTACCAGGGCGACAACAACGGCTCCTTTTACCCACCGTCTGCTTCGCCGCATATCTTTTCGAGTCTAGACGTCCGCACACGGCTTGGCACCGCGTGAGTTCTGCCGTTACCTTTCCTAAGGCCCTGCTCACCTGACTTTTATTTCCTTTATCTTCACTTATATTCCCTCCGCCTCATGCTACTCTTTGCCCCTGCTTCAATCAGCACTTCTCTATGTTGTTCTAGTGGCTTCGTTTCTATTTAGCCACGAGTTTGACCATGTCACTGACACTGCGTGATACCAGAAACAACAATCCATCGTCTGGTTTGGGACATGCCCACCGAGCACAATTGCCACATCCAGCTGCCCAGATTTCCACACGGGACCTGTACTCGACTGCGACACCGTCCTTTAGACGGGCTACAGACCACTCCACTCGGTCGCCCTCGTTCCCGGGAAGTCACCGTCACCATCCCCTCTCGCCAACGCCCAGCCCCAATCAGACCTATACGGCACCATACAAGATGGATACCGGTACCTTTGGGGGCAAGCCTCAAATCCCACCGCTGATGGAAACGACGTCGTTTGGCAGCCTTCAGTATGTGGATGGTCCTGGAGCCGGTCAACCCGTCAAGCTGGAGATCAACGGTACCATTGACAAAGGGTTTTTCCTGGCCGACAAAGAGTGGACATGCTACCGGCGCAACTACTTCTCTTGCATATGTTCATTTGCCGTTTCGCCACATTACCCGGCGTCGGGCTTGGCATTTTTGCAGACCGACGGCACAAGAAACATAATTCACGGGTTTTCCATAAGCATCTCAGCCGTCGTGTCCGACAATGACAACCATGTCATTGAGTTGGTCCAGCACACCCCAAAGAGAGACAAGGGGCCCACTGCGCGCCCTGAGAAGGTGCATCTCCTCCCGAAGCCGCCCCAGCCAGCACATCACAACATGGGTATGTACAGCGCAGACGGTGGTATGTCCGTGGGTGGCCGGTACGATCATAGCTATGGCCCGCCACAAGCCGGACACCCGACAGAGCACACGTTTGAGCGGATCCAGTTCAAGCAAGCAACAGCCAACAATGGGAAGCGCCGTGCCGCGCAGCAGTACTACCACCTCCTTGTCGAACTTTGGGCGGAGGTAGGCGCACCAGGAAGTAGTGAGTGGCGTACCGTCAAGATTGCACACCGCAAGTCAGCCAAAATGATTGTACGAGGTCGGTCACCGGGCCACTATCAGGCCGAACGGCGCGGCAGTACCAGTAGCGGCCCTGGCGGTTCTGCTGGTAGCCTGGGCTACGGTGGCTCGCAGGTGATGGGATCCGACTTTGGCTCGACCGGGTCGACTCTTCTTCCCGCAGCCTACGGCAGCTCGTACGACCCGCGGTCTGGTCACTACGGTGGTGCATCACGGCACCATCAGCAGCAGTCACAGCACGACGTCGATATTGACCATCCAGTCATGACGGCCGACGAGGTGAAAAGCATCGCGGAGCCGAAGGAATACCAGTACTTCCCGACGCCCATCTGCGATAGTACGCACGACGCGCGGCACCCGGTGGATCTGTTCTCTCACTCGCATCAGCGAGGCGACCACGAGACAGCGCTCCCTCACTTGAGCACGAGTGCGATGGATGCAACAAGGGCAAAGAACGACGGTTCTCACCATGGACATAATACGTTCTACCCGGGCGAGAACTTTTACCCAAACCGCTGCGGCCGTTACGAAGGCAAATCGAGCTCCAACGGCTATTACCCGTCTCTAGCTGCACCAACATCCAGCGTTACCATGTCATGAAAAACCAACTGAAAGTGGTCACAGCACGAACAGCATGCCACGACTTGATTTTTTTTGGGCCTCCACCAACAGACCGGTTTTGTTCGGCTTGGGATTATGTCAGCGCTTCCGTAATGTTTTTATAATGTGTAACGACTCTGTTTAGATGATATCTGTGACGAATGAGGGGAGGGGAACAAAAAAGAGCATACAAGACGAAAACAGGACGGAAAGGTGAATTTGTGAGGCAGAGTCACGGATACAACACTGCAATCCGAACAACTCGATCTGTCACACTGCATTGCATCACCCTACCAGTCCGAAGGACATCGACAACGACAACAAAAGCAAAGGGCATTTGTTTTTGAGGTGCTATCTTGGATGGACGATAGTGCAAGGAGGGAACAATCTGGAACCAAAAACTGCTGGCATATTTGGAAGGATACGAAGAAAGAGAAGCGAAGCGGGGCGCAGGAAATTTTATCTGATTTTGGGGGTGCACTCGGGAAAACATTGGCATTGTACGCAACTGAATACCCGCGCGCTCACTTCTTTTGTCTTGGCCTTTTAGCATCTCATTTGGATTTTTGAATTTTTGTTTTCTCGCTTTTCATCATTGTCGTATCTCCCTGTCGAATTTGATTTGATTTTCTTTTTCGCATCCGATTTTGTCCCGTGGTGACGATGGCGACTGGTGGCTGTTGGGTCTGGCCTGTCCAAAATCAAACCCAAAAAAGCCTAGTTCACACATGGTTCAATATTGGGCATGTATGTTGTATTTTTTTTGTTTTGTCTCCTTGCTTCCCGCCCTCGTTGCTCAGCCTTGTCGGGGTCAAGCCCCTGCAAGAGCAAAACGATAAATTCTGGACAGGGGCCAACAAAATCTACTGGCCACCCTTCAACGGATCAATTTATTTTGTGGTCTCACTTTTGGCGGGCCTTATCACACCGCAACTTTGCTTTTCTCGGCCAAAGCAGAGAGTACTTGTCACTCATTGCGGCAGAGACATTGATGAGAAATGGGCATCGTGCAGGGGTGGTGCTGGGGGGGTCGGTAGGTGGCCTGAATGGAGAGCCATAAAGAGAAAACTTTAAAAAAAAAAAAAAAAAAAAGAAAGAGAGAAAGAGAAGAGAAGAAAAGAAAAGAAAAGAAAAGAAAAGAAAAGAAAAGAAAAGAAAAGAAAAGAAAAGAAAAGAAAAGAAAAGAAAAGAAAGACAAAAAGACAAAAAAAGACAAAAAAGGCAAAAATCAAGGTCCTACCCGGAATCGAACCGGGGCTACTGGAAGGTGTTCTGCGACGAGATCAGAATCCAATGTCCTAACCGCTAGACTATAGGACCCATTGTGTTGGGCTTTGCCCGTTGTGTTGTGGTGCCGGCGCTGCAAACAGGCTTACAAAGGCAACAGTGCAGCCAGCGATCGCATATGGCCTGTGACATTTTCTGACCATTCCAATGCTACGTTTTGCTTTCGTTCTGCGTCAATACAACATACTTGCGAGATATATGCGATTTGGGAGAGAGAAACAGACAAAATAAACACCGAATGCCGGGCCGCTACCCACTCAAGGGAGTCGCTTCACGGCCTTGTATAGCATTGCAAAAGTCAAGTGCAATATTGTGTTGGTAGCAACGCATAAACGCGGCTGCAGTTTGTACAAGTTGATAGCCACAAATCAAAAAGAGCACATCAGTCCAGAGCAAACAGTGTCCCATTTCAAAGCCCATTCCCACCAATGGCCGAAACCGAAAAATACAAGCATATATATCGCGCCGTAAAATACAACTGAAGAAAAATGTGTGCGAAAGAAGAGAAACAAAAGCAGTGCAGAATAAGGCAGAAAGGCGCAAAACATGCATCAAGACACCTGCAACACTTGCAAAGGGAAAACAGAAAGACTACGCCCCGTCTAATCGAAATCCATTGCAAACTCGTCGTCCTCGTCCTTCACGTCGTCCTCGTCGTCGTCATCGTCCACATACACTGGCTTCTTCTTGGTGGCTGTGGCCGCCCGTGCCGAGCGCTTAGGGGCAGCCTTTGTGGCTGCCTTGGCGGCCGGTTTGGCTGCTGGTTTGGCAGCCGTTGATGCCTTGGACGCGGCGGCCTTGCCCGCAGGCTTGCGCGGGGCAGGGGCCGCCTCCATATCGTCCATGCTGTCGTCGCTGTCAAACAGAGCCGCTCTCGCTTGCGCCTTCTTGGTGGCGTACGCCTTGGCCGCCGGCGACAGCTGCGTCGAGGCCGATGCGCTCTTGGTCTTGGGCTCCTCCTTGGCCTTGGCCTTGGCGCCGCCGCCGCCGCCAGGACGGCCGCGGCCTTTCTTGGCGAGCGTCGATCCTGTGCTCAGCGCAGTCGCGTTGCTCGGCCGCGCATCGTCGTCGTCATCGTCGTCTTCCGACTTGATGTCGTCGTCGCCCTTGGTGGACTTGCGCGGCGACGACAGGGCAAGGGCCTCGTAGTTGGTATCGTCGTGGCTGTCAAAGTCAAACGACTTGGTCGACGGCTTGGCGCGGACGGTCTTGGGCAGCACCGAGGAACCGCTACCACTGCTGTCGCCCTGGCTCGTCTCCGGCCGCGACATGGCAAACAGGCTCAGCCGGCCATTGGCCGATGAGCCGGACGTCTTTGCCTCGGAACCGCCGATGCCCTTGACCATGGACCCGACATCGCCAAGCATCTCGTCGTCGTTGTCGTCCTCGTCCATGTCGGATTCCGAGTCGAGCGTCCACGTCTTGGCCTTGGTCGCCGCCGCCCGTTTGGTGCGGCCGCCAGCAACCGCACTCGCAATGGTCGGGATCACCTCGTCCATTTCGTCGTCGTCGCTCAGGTCGACGACGCGGTCAGCAGCTGCAATGGGGGCGGCTGCTGTCTTGGACTTCTTGGGCTTGGCCAGGGCAGCAAAGTCGTCGTCGGAGAAATCGTCCTCGGCGCCGTCGGCACCCAGCTTCTGGCTGGCGGGCTTGGTCTTGGGCTTCGCCGAGAACATCTCCGCAAACCGCTCGGACGTCTTCTCCACTGGCTTGGCCGCATTGAGCGCCTTCATCGCGGCCGACACCTTGGGCGCACGTGCAGGCTTCTTCTCCACGTAGTCGTCCTCGTCCTTGACCTTGCGGCCACGGCCACCGCCAGCACCAATCTTCTTGGACGCACGGCGGCCCATGCGGCGGATGCTGGTCTGGACATCGCTGTCAAGCAACAGCTGGTTCTCCCACTCCTTGATGAACTCGTCGAGATCCGCGCACCACAAATCCTTCTCGCTCTTCGAGTTGAGTTCGTCATACTGCTCCTTCTTGCCATCAATCTGCTTCTTGAGCCGCTCCAGACGCTCCTGCGTGAACGACCAAATGGCCATCGAGAGCAGGTAGTCATAGTCGCGAGCAGAACCACCATCCTCGTCCTCTTCCTCTTCCTCGACATTGTCTTCGTCGTCCTTGGACTTGGCCCCCTTGGCGTCCCCGTTGTCCTTGGGGAAGGCCTCGTACTTGCGCTCGCGCAGCTCCTGCACGATGACGGCCTTCTTCTTCTTCGACACAACCAGCTTGCCCTCCATAATCTCCGAGATGAAGCGGTATTGGTTGCGGATCTTCCGATACTCCATGTGGTAAACGCGCAGCCAATGCTCCTTGCGCTGCGTGTAGACACCAAAGCGGTAGTTGTAGTACTCCTCCATGATGTCCTCGACCTTCTCGTAGCGGCGGATCTTGCCCTCGGTGTCGAACGCGACCAAGTTCGTCGTACCGATGGTCTTGGAGAGCTTGAAGCGCTCGATGAGGCCCTCGTCGAGCGCGCTCCGAATGTGCTTGTCGTCCATCTGGATGATAAAGTGCACATTGCGGTGGTCGTTGAATTCCTTGTAGTCCTTGATCCAGGAAGGCGACTTTTCAGCGCGGATGACCTCTTCCAGTCGGGCCTTGAAGTCGTCAGTCCAGACGCGGACGGGCAACTCCGTCACATTGATCTCGTTGGGGTGCTTGTCGTCCTGGAAGACGATGCCGTTGAAGCGGAACCGGCCGGGTTGGGTCGGGTCCTGCTCAGGTGTACCCTTCCAGCCGCGGAACCAGGGAACCATGGGCTCAAAAGGCGCCTCTTCGCCGTCCACATTACCAAGGCGGCCCATGCGGCGCTTCAGATTGTTGACAATGTCCACGGGGTTGTAATTGGGAATCTGCGTGCTCCAGCCAGTACCAATGCCGTCGGCACCGTTGATGAGAACCATGGGCACAATCGGCGCGTAGTTCTTGGGCTCAATGATGCTGCCCTCATCCACGTTGTTCTCCAGGACAGGTTCATCCATCGGGCTAAAGACACGGCGGGCAAAGGGAGACAGGCGCGTGAAAATGTAACGAGCGCTGGCAGCATCAGAGCCGCCAGAAAGACGAGAACCAAAGTTACCACTGGGCTCGAGACAGTTGACATTGTTGGAGCCGACAAAGTTTTGCGCCAGGCCGACAATCGTCTGATGCAGCGACTGGTCGCCGTGGTGGTACGAGGCCAGCTTGGAGACCGTGCCAGCGAGCTCAAACACCTTCTGGTCCTTGACGTAGTTCTTCTTGAAACAGGTGTAGATGACCTTGCGCTGGCCAGGCTTGAAGCCGTCGAGGACAGACGGGATGGAACGCATGTTGTCCGCCATGCTGAAGAGAATGAGCTCTTTGTTCACGAAATCAGTGTACGTGATGCTCTTCGTGGACTGGTCCAAGAACGTGCCAGGCACAAAGTTGCCAAGCCACTCCTTCCGCGCATCCGCCTTCTTCTTGGAGAAGGCAAGGTCGAAAAGCTGCGCCTCGTCACTCTGCATCACCTTGAAGTCCTTCAGATGGGCGTCGAGGTTGGTAAAGTACACCTGGGCATCCTCGTTGGAACTGGAACCCAGACCCTTGAGGTACTTGTGGTCCCACCGCTTCACTTCCGCCGCATGGTTCTCCTTCCACTCGTCGTACTCGGGGATCGTGTAGAAGGCCTTGGTCTTCGTGGGCTTTTTGGGGTTGGGGCCTTGCCAAATTTTGACAACGGGCGTGATGAACTCCTGGAAGAAATCCGGAATCAGGAGCAAGGACGGAAACTGAACTTGCAAGAAGTTGATGAGCAAGCCCTTGATATGACTACCGTCGTGGTCCTGATCGGCCATGATCATGAGGTGACCATAGCGGAGACCCTTGGTGTCGGTATAGACCTGCTTGTGCTTCAGACCAAGGAACTGCTTGATGTTCTGAATTTCCTTGTTCTTGGTGATCTGGTCGATTGACGCATCGCGCACGTTGAGCAGCTTACCGCGGAGCGGGAACACACCGATGCGGTCGGGATCGAGAACGGCACGACCAGCAACGGCTAAACCACGCGCAGAGTCACCCTCTGTGAGAATGAGCGTGCACTCGTGGCCGTGCTTTGTGCCTGCCAAGTTGGCGTCAACAAGCTTGTCGTTGCTTATACGAGAGCGCTTGTTGCCATCGCTCTTGGACATCATCTTGTCGGCCTTGCGCTCGGCAAAGTGAATGATGTTGTTGATGGCGTCCGAGTTGCGGATCTTCTTCAAAAAGGCGTCGGAGAGGACACATTTGCTGCCAAAGGCGCTGACTTTCGTAGTCATCTGCTCCTTCGTTTGCGAGTTGAAGGCCGGGTTGTCGATAAAGCAGTTGACAAAAATGAAGATGTGGTTGCGGATGTGGCTCAGCTTGAGAGAGTGGCCCTTCTTCTTCTTGTTGAGGTCCGTCAGCAGAGCAGTGCAAATCTGGTCGGCAATGTAGTTGACGTGTGTGCCACCAGACGTCGTGGCAATGGAGTTGACAAAGGACACCTGCTGGAAGGTGCCGTCGGACACGGTGAAACCGATTTGCCAACGCCTGTGCAGCTTCGTGTCCTCGAACTGAACGGTGGCGGTATCGGGCAGCACCTCACCCGTCACTTCTTCGTCGCGCTCCTTGGCAATGGCCTTGGCGTACAGGTCACAGTACTTCTTGAAGCCGACCTTGAGGTGCTCGCCGTTGAGGTACACCTTGACACCGTCCACGACACCAGCCATGTCGTAGACGCGGCGGTAGATGAGGGCCTCCAGGTCATCGTCGATGCCGTCAGGCATGTTGAAGCGCTTGTAGTCGGGCGTGAAGGTCACGCGCACAAAGTCGGAGGTCTTGTTCGACGTGATCTTCGCCTTGTCCATGACAGACATGTTGTTGTGCCATGACTGCTTGTAGCGCTTGCCGTTGGTCGAGTCCTGGCACTCGATTGTGAAATCGGTGGAGAAGACGTTACATAGCTTGGCACCGTAACCGTTTCTGCCACCAACGGTCTTCTTCTCGTTGTCGTCGTAGTTCGAGCCCGTCAGGAGGTGGCCGAACAGCAGCTCGGGAATGTACACCTTCTCCTTCTGTAGACAGGGGAAATAGGGCGATTAGCGACTGTACATTGTGCCCCGATGGTCTCTGATCTCTGATCTCTGATCTCTGATCTCTGATCTCTGATCTCTGATCTCTGATCTCTGATCTATGATGTGTGCGCAAAACATACCTGGTGCATTTCAACAGCAATACCTTTGCCGTTGTTCTCGACGCTGATCTCGCCCGACTCGCGGCTAACAGTGACCTTGAGCATGGTCATGCCAGGATCGCGCTGCTTGTTGTCGGCAGCGTTGACGAGAATCTCGTCAAAGATCTTGTACAGGCCGGGGACGAAAGAGACGTTGCGTTTCTCCATCTGGGTCGTCTCTTTGTTGAAAACCCACATGGGCTGCTCGAGATGCTCGACGGAGCCAATGTAGGTATCGGGACGCTTGATAATGTGTTCGAGCTGTGTAAGTTTCTGGTACATCTCCGACGCAGTCTTGTTGGACGTGGGCTGCGACGGTGCGGGCGCATCGTCGGCGCCGTCAAAGTGGCTAACGCTGTCGTTGGCAATCTCCGCGAGCGGCTTGCCGGCCGACTTGGGCTTTTTTGCGGGAGGCTTCTTCTGTTTGCTGGCACTGGGCGGGGTCTGCGACAGGTTGCCAACGCTGCCGGAGCCGAAATCACCGTCGCTGGCATTGTCCTCGTCGTCGCTCGTGGGTTTCGCTCTCTTCTTTGACGCGGCCGGCTTCCCCGCCAGCTTTGCCAGTGCGGCCTTTGTGGGTTTCTTTGGTGCTGCCTTTGTCGCAGCGGCTTTCTTTGCGGGCGCCTTTGCCTTCTGTGAGCAAATGTCAGTATGGCCCACGTGCACGTGCAGTCCAGGGGATCGGAGTGACACCTACCGGCGCCGGCGAGTAGTCTTCCGAGTCGTTGTCCATGTCAAACGCCGGGTCGCTCATATCGTCGTCGAAATCCATCTTGGCGATGAACAGAGGAGCGGTCTGACGGGGGAAAGCGAATGGATGCGCCCCGGGAGCGCGGTTGGGTGTCGAAGACCGGCTGTGAAATTCGCACGTCGTTCGCGGCTCAAAGAGGGGCAGTGGCCGCGGGGAGTGCTGAGACAGGACGTCAATGCAATACGTCGAAGGAAACAGGGCACGCAAGGATCTGGTCCTGTGAACCTGGCGGACCGGCGATGTCGAGAGCGTGGTGGGTGCCGCTGTTGTCGAGGGCGTCGAAGGCGTCGGGAGTGTCGAAAGTATCGAGAGTATCGAGGGATGGTGTGAGAAGTGTCGCCGTTGCAGATTTGGGACGACTGGGAATGAGCGGCCGGGGACGGTGAAAAAGAGGGGCTCACATAAAGCAAGTGCGACCCTCTGGCTTGCTGTTTTGTTTTTGTTTTGATATTCCAATTTGGGAAGCCACGGCCGTAATGTAAACAAAGTAGGAAGGCCCCTGGTCGCCATGCTACCTTTTCTGTGTTTTGCCCCTAACAAGCCCTGTTTGGTTCATTTTCGCCGAGGTGTTTCGGCCAAAACGCGTCAGCGACACGACTTAGTCATCAAAGCATTCTTTGCCTGGTCAGTTTAGGAGTGTCACGTGCCGTTGTCGTTTTGCATGAACCTTCCCCTGAATGCCAATTCAGCTCAGCCACAACAACAAGCCACAACTGCCACCACAACAGCCGAAACAACAACAAACGGCTCTGCCTCACGTCGTCGGCAAGCAATGGGATATGGGAGGGAGGAGAGGGGTGAAGCAGGGTAGACAGCAGGCACCGCCCGGACATGGCTACACAAGAGGATAGCCTCCTCGCACTGCATGAACACAAACACGACCACGACCACAAACACGAGCATCTTCTCATGCGGCATGCCCCCCTCCCTTGTCGAGCACGACGAGACGGGGATGGGGAGGATGGCAGGTGCAAAAGCAAGAGCATGAGCAAGAAGGGGACTGACAGATTGCGACGGACCAGCCTGCCGAAGGCACAGCTGCCATTCCGACACCAAAGAGGCGCGAGAGCGGTCAAGTTGCGTGCAATGATGAAAGAAGACGACACACCTGTGTCATGCCATATCTTGTCTTGACCTGAGGCCGGTGTCGGCAGTCTCATCTATCCCTTCTCGTGCCATTGCTTAAAGGGGATAGACACTATTCTCGTGGCCCGTCTCGTCGCCTGTTCTCCGTTTGTCCGCTTGCTCCTCGTCATATTTTTTTCGATTTTGCTGAGGTCCCTGAACACGCGTTGTCAGTCACTCCTGTCCGACTCTCCCGCTCACGAAGCACGCAGTTGCATAGACATTGCTCTTGCGCTTCTTGTGATCCCTCGTTATTCGCTTATCGGGTGTGGTACAGACAGGTCTACCCGCCGACGTTTGCCACATCATCCCGTATTCGGAGGCTCGGTAGCTGTCCCATGTTGATTACACAGTTTAAAGCCCCTGGGCAATAAACAAACAGGGAAGAAACTCTCGTATGGATTGTTTGCTTTTTATTTTATTTTTTTGAAATTGTGTTCCTCAAACCCCTTGTGAAAGACTTTTAGCAACGAACGACGCGACAAGAGCTCGACGCAAAGCGCTGCCGTCGTCATTAAGCCTTGACCAGAGCTGCCACCTGCCAGATGCCATTGTTACCAATCCAGTCGCCGCGAAAGAGCCGGCGAATTGTGATACAGTGCACGGCAGAAGGAGTACAAGCTCTTGATCGATCCGGCAGACAGTCGCATCTTGCACACACCTGCTCATCCTGTAGCTTAATTCTGGTCGCCGGGATCTCTTTGCCTAGCCAGAAATGGAAGACGCTATAATACACGACATCATCGGTCCCGGCGGTATCTCCCTCCAACCCATTCCTTTGTCTAATTGCTTTGCGGGTTTGTTTTTTTGTTTTTTTTTTTCGAGAAGAAAATAGTCAATATGCCCAATTCCTACAGCTGCCTTGCCGTGGTGGACAGCATGAATTCTGCTTTAGCGAGAGCCAGGCACCAACAAAAGAGGTGATTAAACAACATGAACACTGCAACAAAAACCATACGAGTCTAAAAAACAGTTTATTTGTCGACGACGTTTGGCCTTCGCCACAGGCATCTAAGGCTATATTCAAAGTAACGTAACTCTTCGCTTTTGCTCGCATTACTTGATGCAACAAGCCCGCTACCTTGGATAACCTTTGTTAATCTGTCGAATTCCCGTTTTCACCTCCCTTATTCCCTATCCCGTTACCTGTACAATTACTGGTCAAGTCACACAGATGGTTTTGAATCAAGACTCCTCGACCTTTGTGGCACTGGCTTGCTGGAAGAATCCACGCCGGGTCATGGACCAACCCCCTTCCCCCCTTCTCCATATTTTAGTGGCCATTCTTCCATCTTCTTGAAGCACAAGGCCGCTGTAGCGATTATTACACAAACGGTACAAAAACTTTTCAACTGAAACACTGCCCGTTGAGAATACGAACAAAGTTGCTTTGAAACCAGATTATCTCTTTAAGTTTTTTAAGTAGTTTTTTTTTTGTTGTTTTCTTCGTCTCTCCCCGCCTGGTACCATAGTCCCTCTCTCGCCTTAACCTTCATTTGTCTTTTTTGTGCTCCCTAACTCAGACGAGACAAGGAGATAAGGAGACAAAAAGGTTAAAATGAGAGACCGTTTTAGTATTATGCTTGTTGCTATTTTGTTACCTTGGCGCCATCTACGGCGAGGCTTATTCTCTGGTCTTGGTGCCATGCTGTGATACAGCTAACGCATGAGATAATAAAAGTGGAAACTGGAAACACGCTCTCCATGAACCAGCAGATCGGCTACAATTTTCGTCCTGAGGAGAACATACTCTGGATGATTTTGTGCCATCCGAATAAATTAATGTTGAAAATACGCTGAGAGAGTAAGAAGGGCACGTTTGTTCCAAATACACACAGTCAAGGGTACCGGCGAGGATGAAAAAGTAGGACATCAAGTACGCGCCACAACAGACGCGGATGCAATATAGCAAGTCAACGGCCAAGGGGTCAGAGGGATGTAGCGTCAGTGCGCATCCTTTTTATTTCTATCTCTTTGACTTCCGTCCTTCCGCCGTTGCACGCACAAAAAAAAGAGGGAAAGAAAACGAAAAGGCAAAGGCGAAGAATTTTACTCGTACAACAGATCCGATCTCTACAATCTATGTCAGGAGCACACCTGCAAATGTAGAGGTGAAAAGTGAAATCAGAGCCAAATCCTTGCAAATCCAGCAACTCCAAACATATCGACCGTAGCTTGCCTTGTTCATGACTGAGAGCTGAAAATTTCCTATTTTACTTCTACTTTGCAGGTATACACACAAAAGGTAGATAGTTACTTCCATTTAAAAAAACAATACTCTGGAAAATAGATGATCTTGGACAAGGCGGCGAGCTGGGCCGTCGTGCTCACCGACTTCTGATACTGTTTTCTCAAGCTCACTGGCCCGTAGACTACTTTATTCTGGCGGTGTTCGAACGTCTCTTTCATGCATCATTCTTAATTAACGAGTAGCTGCAGATGCCACGTGTGTCGAGTCAAGCGAGCAGGCCGTCAGTTTGTCTCTTTTGCCCTAGGCTGGACGACCGGTCTCGTATTTGATTGATTGATTTTTCGCCTCTGGTTTGCCCTTTCATTTTGTTGGCCGTCCTTTGTTCTACAAGGACTTTGCCGGTACGTATGGGAACACGTCGGTCCACGGATGGACGGCTGGCAAAGGCAGGCAGGAAGGAAACGAGGGGAGAGGGAGGAGACGATGGCAGGGAGAGACAAGGGCTCGAAAAGAAAGAAGAAAAAAAAAGATGAGACATCCAGATATGAATTCCACGGTTAGCCACCAGTTCATGATGTGTCGGCGCTGCAGGTAACCGTGCCACTCGTCTCGTGCCTGAGAGAGGGTGAAAGGAGGTACTGAATTTTTCCAAGGTTGCAGTTGTTCGATTCTTGCATTTGAACTTTCGATCCCTTCTGTTTTGGCAAGCTGCGAACTCACCTCTTCACCTTCACAAAGGCGGTGACCCGCAACTACCCGCCATCTCATCTGTCATTTTCACCTCGCCTCTTGGCCAGCCACAAACTCACATCTCTCGGCCAGACCGTGGATTCAAATAGAAGTCATGGCGAGGAAATGGTAAATGGCCAGTGACGTGGGGCTCCGGCATGGGCGACGGCGCTGTCTACCTGCCTATCCCCATCGACAATATTGGACTATTGGAAAGAGGCGGGCCGGGGGCGAAGGGTCTTCTTTGTGGTTGCTCACTTGTCTGATATCATATTTTGGTATTTTGTATTTTGTATTTCGTTTTCTGAGCCCTTCCGCCTGTCATTGATTTTTTTTCGTCATATTTGTGTCGTCTGTCCCGCCCTGCCTAGACTGGTTTCACGGTGTTGCCGACTCTTCGCTAACTTGCGTCTTCTCAGGCTCCAGTGATGCTCACATTCTTGTCCAGTGTACCGCCGTTTGTGCCCTTGTGTTTTGATTTCGCCGTGATTCGCTCCCATTTGGGAAGGGTGATGTGCACCTCTTCATCTCCTGGTCTCCCCATCTGCCTCGTAGCCAGTCCCTGTGTATCCCAAGGTCCATCTCTGAACCCGCCGCTAATATTCCGATGCATACTGCCTTGTCACTGGCAAAGTTATTGGCAGTAGGAGGCAAACCAACCGTGGCAATATCATGCTGGTTAGCGTATGCACAAGCAAAACAGGCCAGCGGACTGTTTATTTGGCTTCTCTTTTGGTTTCCATGCAGCCAGCCTTTCTTCTCTGGAGCCCAATATGCGGCATGCGAGTCCTGGAGGCCAACAGACAAAGGGCCCGGCCCAGTCGATTCTCACTTCTTCTTTCTGCTCTCTCGTTTCTCTTCTTTTCCACTCCTCGTTGTATCCGTTTGTTGCAGCTGTTCGGTCCACGAGGGTAGCTAAGACCATGTCTTGTTTCTTGTTGTTATTATCCATTTCCCGCCATTCTCGTTGTTCCTCTTTCCCTTCAACCCCAACAGTGCCCGTCTTTGATCCGGTTCGACAAGATTGTCGACGGCTCTCTCGGCCTCTTTCTCGCCTCTGTCTCCCTTTTCCAACGAAAAATCGACTCTGTCACTTTTGTGGGCAGCAAGAATTAAAGTGTCGCCAACCGCTCGTTTTTCCTCGCTTCGTCGCCCGTTCCGTGGTCGTGTTCGATCACTTGTCATTTTATAGCTTGCTCCGTTTCTCAAGCTGCCTAACCCTCTCCAAGAAAGCCCGCCCAACACCCCAGTCTCCGACAATTTCGGCGGTGATCGATATGTGCAGGGAGACGGCCGCCAATTTACAGCAAAAAGACTGCACAAGGGTCCAAGAGTCGCCGTTGATTCGCACGTCTTCCAAGTATTTTCTAGAAAGGAGGCCCGACTCCAGTTGATCATGAGACATCGTAAACAAAGAAAGGAGAGGCGGCAAGGGCCAAGCACCCAAGCACCCAGGACAGAACCCACTCCACAATGCAGGCCATTGCCTCTACATGCTGCTGTCCTTGGTCCGTCTGTTGCTCAAGCACGCACACCGACAATAAAAATGAGGTTCAGGTGGCCCAACGCCTGTAGAACATGATTTTGGGGCAAATCGAGGCGGCATCTGCAAGGGCTGTCTCTGACGAGATGGGAACCCCGTCATGGGCGCGCGAGCGAGAGAGACAGACGAGAAAGGATGGCCAGATCGGTGCCTGACACCTGCAAGGCGGAAAATAAGGTGAGCAAGATGAAGGTACCGTAGACGCACAGGTGTAGAGAAACCAGGACATGGCGGCGAAGACAGCAGGAGAGACGATCCGGCAAGGTGTAGGTCAACGTGGGCCGGAGTTCGGGCACAGACGTTTTGTTTCACACATGGATACATCCGAGAATAGAAGGAAAGACGGACTCTCAACATTGAAGGGGAAGTTGCAACAACAAAAAAAGGAAATTGTTAAAAGTGGAAGGGGCAGCTGGAAAGTAGGGAACTTGAGGCAAGAGCCACCAGGCGGTACCTTCCACACCTTTGAATATTGGGGGTGGAAGGTGAAGCCTCACCCACAGCGGACAGGCCGTTCTTGCCCGCTTGGTACGAGCGTACTGTCTGTCATGAAGCACACCCGCCCTGACCTCTGGTCGTTGCTTCCTGCTGTTCTGCTGTTTCTCTCCACCGCTCCTACCCAGTATGGCTTTGTATGCGTGCGACCATAGCCATATAAGCCTTCGCCCCCCTCGCTCTCTTCCAGCTGCCTCTTTTCTCTCCCCTTCTCATAGCCATTTTCACACTGTCACCGGCCACCTTTTCACTCCTTGTGCTCATTGTGCTCATTCTACCCTATCCCGTTTCTTTCTCCCAGTCTCGTCGCGGTTGTCTGGTCGAGCACAACATCACCCTTGGTCACTGGGAACCCCAGCTTGCACCGGTGAGCCACCCCCTGGCGCTGTCATTCACCTGAGCGCCAAACAAACAAGAGACGGTCAATACAGGCACGTCAAAGGCCGTCTTACAAGACGGCACTCTGGTGCTCACCACTTTCACCTATATCACATTGTCGCACTCCTCCCCTCTCCTTTGTCTTCTATCAGTTTCTCTACCGCTTCGCATTCGCTCAGTTGTTCTTTTCTTCGCGTTTTCATTTCTCCCCTCGTCTTCTCCCGCCTCTCTCGTTCGGGTCCATTTAACTCGGCCTCCTTGTCTTGTCACGTTGGGCTGCCGTCATTTTCAAACGAGAGGCTCAAAATATGTCCGTGTCAACCCTCTTGCACCCAAAGGGACCATCTGAGCAGGTCACAACATCTCCATCCCAGGGTCATCCCGGCCAGACATTTGGATCTCCATCGAGCGTCTCATCTCCATCGTCCTCCTTCGCATCAACGCCGATGGCTACGATGATGGAATCACCGGCCACGGCGTACAGCGACAACCTGTACCAGGTGGCCAGCCGGAGCCATATGGTCAGCGGGTCGTCCCAAGGCCCGTTTGTCGAATTCGCTCGAGCGCATCCCAAAGGCGCCGTCCGTTTCCGCCCGTTCGAGCACGGCCTCAATGCCACTGCGAGACGGAGTATCGAGGAGTTCCAAATTTATCCATTCGAAAGCATCGAGGAGTTTTGTCGACACATCCCGTATGCCAGCGGCAAGAAAGACTTCTTTGAAAAGACAGGCCGAGAAAGCTTCGAAGGTAAGAGACCCTTGCATTGCTGAACGTCTCGACCCATGCTACTTGTTGTCCAAGTCATGCTCACCGATCAGTCTTCCAATATGTCTTCAAGGTCCCAGGCGATGACAAAGAGTACCACGTCATGTGGGACTACAACGTCGGCCTCGTTCGCATGACCCCGTTCTTCAAGTGCTGCAAGTACAGCAAGGTACGTGACAACAGCGTCGGTGTGGAGCATGAGCACCCAAAGATGAGATGAATCAATTCCCATCGGACGGTGAACGGGCCGCGGCCGAACTACTAACACGATAAAAATATCAGACGACGCCGGCAAAAATGCTCAACCTAAACCCGGGGCTCCGCGAAATCACGTACAGCATCACCGGGGGTTCAATCATGGCCCAAGGTACGTCTCGTCTTCTTTCATGGTGTTGGTGACAGTCATGCCCACATACTCACAAGCGAAATAAAAGGCTACTGGATGCCTTACTCCTGCGCGAGAGCAGTCTGTGCTACATTCTGCTATCACATCGCCGGGGCCCTCATTCCGATATTCGGACCAGACTTCCCGTCTGATTGCTTGCCTCCCCAGTCGTCCGATTTTGCACGCATGGTCATCGACCCAATTCTTGTTGCAGAGGCAGCTCGAGAGACGGAGCTCATGCGACAGGACGTTATTCGGGCGATAGAAGATGGGGCCACGACGTCATCTTTCCATCAGAGTCGGATCCGACAGCCGCATGGCGGCTCGCAAGGCACATACCAGCAGCCAGATATCCATTCCCGTCCTTCAAGTATGCATCGCCGAATCCTACCACCGCCCGAATCTCTGTACGTCCGCCACATCGCCGACGCGCTCGAGGACGGAAGGCCACAACTGGCTCCAATCAACTACTCGGCGCCGCAACATGATGACCTTCTCCTCCCATCGCCTGTAGAGCACGGGAGACTGCCTCCCCTAACTCGAATGCCTGTTCCCTCTTCAGTCACATTGCCAAATCTCTTCCGCCGTGACGCGCATACACGGAATCGACATGGCCACGTGAGAAACAGCCACAACTACACTACAGACCACACTCACCAGCGAGAGCACCAATCGCTGCCCTCTTTGAGAACGGGTTATGAGTGCGACATCCCCAACTCAACTGAAGAGCTTTCCAGACACACTCAGCCAAGGCGGCCACATTTGGACTCACCGCCGTCGCCCCGTCTAATTTCATCAGACCAGCAGGTACGCTGGAGACCGAAAGTGGAGGAAACGCAATCGTCGGTGCCGCGGGTCGGCAGTGCCCTTCAAGCGACTCTTTCGAATCCTGGCTTCGAGCATCGAAGGGGTGTCGCCGACAATGGACACCAAGATGGCCACTTTGCACCATCGTACTGCTACCCATCTCCACCACGCAGACAACACGCTCATCTACGCCATTCCAGCGAGGACGAGAAGAAACCACACTCGGGACCTGTGCATGTTGTTGTCAAGGACGAAGTGAAGTACGCGACGGCCCTAGAGACAGACAAGAAACCAATAGGGCCAGCCGACAACCAAGGGCACGATGTGCATTACCATCCCCTACAGAAAACGCCAACTAAGCGCCGCAAAGCCAAGGTCAGTGGTGGTGTGGCGGGGCCATCGTCGTCATCTTCGTCCTGGAATGCCACCGATGTGGATGCGGCCGAAGTGCTCGTCAACTTCAGTGTTAAGATGCAGGCACCTGACACCTTCAATGACGGCCGCCGTCCAGACACAAAGAAGCCCAAAAACGACCCACGACTCATCGCAAGCATAGCATCGCTCCTGTGTGACGATGAAGTTCCATGCAACAAGCGGCGCAAGTCCTAGTCGGTGAACAGGAAAGGGCAGAGAGAGGAAGGCACGTGTGATGGGATCCATGGAGTCTGGTGATAGGAAAGGCAAAGACTGTTCGGTTGAATTAATTTGGCCATTTATCTCGAAAAGTTTCGAGCTCCACTGAGTCCGTCACAGCGGTCTTTTTGTATATCGTCATTGTGAATTTTTTTTATTTAATATGCGATTTCTTGTCTACTTTGTTTTCCTATTTTACGTTTTCTGTTCATTCTCGATTTATTCTCGGTGAGGATGAGGATTGGATGGTCGGTGGACGGAGCCGAGAGGCGTGAGGCATTGTTCTTGGTTTTTTACTTGGTATTGTTCATTGACATTTAATTGATTTATTACTTATTCTTTTGGTATATTTGTCGTTTTTTAAAGGTAATTTGGTATCAATGATAATTCAAAGTCCTCCCTCACTTTTCGGTCTGCTCCCCTCGTTCTGCAGCCTTCTTCTCTTTGAATTCACGCACCCACGACTCGGCCTGCTCCCTGGGCACGACAAAGACGCGAACAACCTCGTCAACAACTTCCACGCTCGCCTGCGCCAGGATCTTGCCCAGCGCCATCTTCTTGCCGACCTTGACCAGGCTGCCGGCGATGGTCTCCATATAGCAGTCAACGCCCGCCGGTGCCGCATAGTCCTTGGCCGTCGTGTCCCACGGCACCGGCAGGATGTACGCCAGGTGGTCGCCGAGGCTCTCCGTCTCGTTGAAGGCCTTGATAAAGTCGGACTGCAGCTTCAGCGGGTACAGGAGCACCGTCGGGTAGCTTACCGTGCTCTTGGACACGTCGAGGTCGTACGTGCCGTCGTCCTCGGGCTCCAGCCGCACCGCGGCATCCTCCATCTCGGGCGGCTGCGCCGTTGTGCGCGTGCGCACACCACGCAGGCGCAGCACCGCCCGCAGGCGCTGTTTCTTGCGCGTCTCACGCGCCACGCGCTCGTCCTCGCGGCGCTTGCGGGCCGCCACCATCTCGGCGCGCGCGGCAATGTCCTTGCTGAGGCGCAGCAGCGACGCGTTCTGGGGGTCGACGGCCAGGCCGCCCGCACAGGCCTCGTCGGCCTCGTCGGTCTTGTCGAGGGCCAGCAGCGCCTTGGCACTGCGGAACCAGGCCTTGGTGTTGGCCGAGTTGAGGCGCAGCGCGCAGCCGCAGTCGAGCGTGCACGACCGGTAGTTGCGCAGCTCCAGCTGGCAGGCGGCGCGGTTGCCGTACAGCTGGGCCAGCAGGGCGTGCTGCTGGGCGACCTGGTCCGGCGTGTCCGGGTCGTCGGGCAGCTTTCCGTCCTCGTCGGCCTCCAGCTTGGGCGCCTCGCCGCGGGCACGGCGCTTGTCTTCGGCAGCGAGGAGGGCAATGCCCTTGCCGTAGAACTCGCGGGCGTCGGCCCACTTGGACTCACGGAAGCACTCGTTGCCGCGCTCCTTGAAATCGCCGGCGTTCTCAAAGGGCGTGCCCTCGTAGGCAAGCGCCTGCAGCGCGGCGATGTCGTCGTTGTCCTCAAGGTCGGTCATGAAGAGGGGCGACTTGTTGAGCTCGGCGAGAATCTCGTCCGCCGTCTTGCCACTTGTGAGTGCCCTGGCCGGTGGCAGCTCCGGGCCCGCGACGGTTGGTTCTGATGCCGCATCTTGTGCCGGCCGTGATGTGGAAGCAGCTGGTGCTGGTGCTGGTGCTGTCGATGGTGCCGGCGCTGGCTGTGCCTCTGCCTTTTTCACCTTGCCGTCGTTGTCAGTTGCTGGGCTGGTCTCTCCCAGCTTCAACTTCTCGGCCACCTCATCTGAAATTTCTTTCAGCTGCACCATACTGGATACTTGTGGTAAGTTGCTTCTGTCAATTTATGAAAAAAGTATGTGTTATATGGGCGAGTTGCTGTTGATGAATTTTCTGACTGATATCGGCGTTTGTCTCTAGCCCAGTTGTGACCTCACAGTGGGTGACAGCCTTGATGAGTAAGCTAAGTTTGGCCATTTTAGTGGTCTTGACACGACAGCCTCGCCTGAAAATTCAATGCTAACGACCAAGTAAATTGAACGACATCCTATCCAGCTATGTATTCCGCCAAAACCAACCCAAAAATAAAACAAACGCAAAACTTTTCTGTAAAAGTGCACCATTACGCTCGCAACCGCAGAAAACCTTAAGACAAAATCCCAGACAAAAAAATCCTTTGCCCAGAAAGACAGAGCGCCATGCTCGAAAGCTCAAGAAAAAACCAACTCCGAATCATCAATGAACGCCAAGCCAGAAACGCGGTGTCCAACGAACACGCTCGCTGAATGAACAAACAAATAAAACAGAAACGACCAGTAGTAAACACCGGACGGGAGCGATAAAGCACAGAGGCATTAGGAGGGAGGGTCTCTGACAAGAGCGCTCAGACAACTCTGCCATCGCCTTCGGAGGACTGGGCAGTCGACGTGTGCAGGGCGGCCGGCGGCGTGCGGTCGAGCGAGAAGCACTGCAGCGCACCGACCAGCGCGACAAGTGCAGCACCGTACCACGCCAGGGCGGTGCAGTCGATGCGGCTGCCGACCGTGTACAGGTAACCCGCAATGGGCGGGGCGACCATGCGGCAGGCGGCGCCGGCGCTGGCGGCCATGCCGTTGACTTTGCCGAGCACCGAGGGCGAAGGCGTGGCCTCCTTGACGAGGATGAGCAGCAGCGGGTAGACCAGGATGGCAAAGAGGTTGCGCAGGGCCATGCAGGCGTAGATGGCCGGGTACAGCCACGCGGCCGGCACGTACAGTAGCCAGGGGACGACGACATAGGCGAGCGGATGCAGGATGGTGACCAGCATAAACAGGCGGCCGACACCGAACCAGGATGCAGCGAGCGGGAAGACGACGGCCTGGACAAAAAGGGCAATGACGCCGTTGATGGCCATGATCATGCCGACGGCGCGCAGGGAAAGCCCGAGTCCGCCCGGGGAGTACAGGGGGTTGAAGGAAAAGGAGCCACGGGTGCTGTCCCCACTTGGAAACGGAACAACACGGTCGTCCTCAAAGAAGATGGGCAGCGTGGAGTCGTAGGCCATGCTGTGGTACGAAAAGATGGCAAGCGCCAGCACGACAGCCAGGATGCGACGCGAGAAGATGTTGACAGAGGTAGCGCGATTTGTGGTGTTTGGTTTGTTGCCAGCAGCGAAACTGGCCGTGGGCTGGCGGGTGCTGGTGGTTGCGGTCGCGGGGTCGGAGGTGGACGTCCCCTCCTCGCGGTCACGGTCGCGGTTGAACGTTCCATACGTCTCGGCACGCAGGTCGACGGCGGGTCGCTTCAACGCGTCCGATGTCTCCAGCAGCGGCGTCTCGTCCGAGACGTACGTGCTGCACTGTTGCTGGCTGTCGTCAAAGTCGAGGGCGGTTTTGGATGCGACCACAGGCGGCTGCAGGTCCGGATGCGTTTCTTCGAGGAGAACGTAGCCCATCAAGATGCTAATGAGTAGCAGGAGCGCGCAAAGCAGGTTGGGCAACAAATAAGGGAAACGGTCAAACAGGCTCCCACGGGGGAACAGCTCGGGGAAGGACGCGTGCGGGTCGGCAAACGTGCCGCCAAGGGCAGGGCCGATGATGGTGCCGATGCTCCAGACGAAGGGCATAATGGAGTATGCGCGGGCTGCAAGACGTTAGTTGGACAAATTCGCAAATGGGACACACAAAATGTACGGGGGAAGGGGGAGGGACTCACGCTCATGTTCGGGCTTCTTGACCAGCTCGCCGACCATGGTCTGGATGACGCCAATGTTGCCGTTCAGCAAACCGCCCATAACACGGCCCAGCAACGCCACCCAGATGTTGCGGGCCATGCCGACGACGATCATGCTCAGCATGGTGCCGATGCAGCCGACCAGCAGCACGGGTTTGCGGCCGATGCGGTCGGACAGGCCGCCCCAGTACATGCCCATGACAGCCTCGGCGAGCGAGAAGGAAGAGATGAGGATGCCGGCGTAGAAGGAGGCATCGCTCTCGTCGCCGATCTGGAAGTGCTTGACAAGGGCCCAGGCGTAGGGGAAGATGGACGTGAGCGCAATGGGCTCGGCCAGGCGGACAATGGCTGTGACGAGGTTAGCTTATGGTGTGTGGTGGTCGTGGCGTTGTCGCGGGTTGGTTCTTACCTAGAATAAATAGCTGAAAGGCAGGAAACGCATCCGGGTCGCGACTTAATCGTTGTTGGAATAGGCCCATGGCTCTTCGTCTCGTCTCGTCGTTTTGTCTTGCGGCTGTCTGGTCTATATCGTACGAGGAGATATAGAACAGTTGACGACGGGGCTGCCCTTTGCTCTGTAGGTAAGTATTTTCTGTTTCACAGAAGTCTGCGTTGTCTCTTTTGAATCTTTTTTTCTTTTTGTTTCTCGCGTTACAAAATAATGTACGAAGACAAACAGTTTAGTTTCACTTGGAACAGGCACAAGAAGACAATAAAGATATATTTTTACAGGAAAAGAAAAGTAAAGAAAAGGGAAAAAGGAGGGTAGAGAGAACAGAAAAGGAGGGGGCAGGTTGCTTCTGTATTTATCTTGTCTTGCCACAAGGAAAATATAAGAAAAGTGTAGACGGGGGGTCAGGAGGGCCGATGGAAAAATGAAAGGAAACGAAAAGAAAGGTGGGTGACGGACGGCGGACGACAGACGGTGGTCGGTTGGCGGTTGTCGGCGTCTCCTTCAAAACAATCAATTTCAGGCTTATCTAGCTCATGAGCTAACTCTGTGCACTCGAAAGGAGGGGCAGGGGGGAGGTCTTTGGCTGCAATAATCTCCTGCACGACGGCATGTGTCACTAGACGGTGAGCAGACGGTATATAGAAAACGGGAACGAAATAAAAGGACGAGAATATGGAGGGGGCAAAAAAAAGGGTCAAGGGGCATGTTAAAACGTAACAACAAAGCCAAAAACGCGAGAAGAAGACGAACAGAGGTTCTCGCCAGGCTATCGAATCGGATAGAAAAGAGAAAAAAGGCGGGACCAATGCAAGACCAAACCGACCAGGCGGCAGACAGCGGCGCTAGCATATGCAACGGGAGGCTTGCAGGGAGGGGGTCTAGAGGGGGGGTGTAGGTACAAAGGCATACTGCGTACGTCGTATTACGCCGTGCTGAGATCCACTGAGGGCGTTTTGTTTGCTGGTGATATGTGGATTTTCGGGAGAATCTGGAACGGATTCGCAAAGATACCATGAATGGACTCGCTGCAACGTTATCGTTGTACGTCCTAAGTCGCTCTTGTCGATGCAGATGCGAGCAATTCAGGCAATACAGGAAATGCAGGCGATACAAAGGGATTGCTGCTTTATTTTTCTAGAGCACCGCCGTGTATCATTCTTTATCGTGGCCGTCGCGACACCAGCCTGAAGAGTTGGACGAGCACAAAATCGCCAAAGTCGAGATAAAGAAGTCGAGGAAAGTCGTCTGGGCTTCGATTTAGATTGAAAAAAAGGGCGGAGAACGGGTGTGTACTCAGTAGGCTGCAGAGGTCATTCCGACGAGGAGACATGTGAACAAAAGTGCATTGCCCAATGGTGGGACTTGTGTGTTGATCCCGAATTGGTTTAGAACTGGGAAAAAAGACAGAAAAAAAAACAAAGTTAAGTTGCCAGGGCGGGTGGCAAAAAGACGAGAAAAAGACAACACAAGACGGCGAAACAGTGGCAAGAGCACCCAGGTCATACTGTGAACGTCTTGGAAAGCGCGTTCAACTGCTCTTTCCCGTCTTTTGCTTTTTCGTGTTGTTGTCGGTCGTTTCTTTTTCTTTCGGACATTTCCGTTTTCTCTTCGTTGCAGTGCATTGGAAAGGCGCGGTCTCTCGGGGCGTACTCCTCTTCGCTCTTTCCCCTCTCATAAACGCCGTTCAAGGATGTGCGAAGAAGGTCACAAAAATGGCATGGGCAAGTGCGACTGACTCGTTTTTCGTGTTCTTGCTCCATTCGTCTTGCCCCTCTTCGGTCGGACGCCGTATTTCCTGTCCTGCTAAATTTTCAGACTGGGAAGGAGGGGGCCAGGCCCGAGACCCGAAGCTAGCCACGGCCTCTAAGTCACAAAAGGACGCTACGAGGCTCCTTTACAGGGAACATTGGGGGCGAGACCTGGCCGTCGACGCTACACAACGACAACAGCCGAAAACGGAGGTGACAGGCATGCAGAAACAAGCCAAGCCATGAGAAGGTGGTGTGGACGGTCAGATTAGGTTGTGTCGAGCTGCATATTGCATGACTCTTCAACTACGCGAGGTGCGACGAGATACTACATGGAATTGTGTGAGGAGGATGTTTTCTTTAGTATTTATGGTATTATAGGTTGTGAAGAATGAATAAATAGAGCATAAATATGAACAAGAACGATACAGTCAAATGGAATTTATGAGAGCTGCAAGTCACTAGCCCTTTGGTGTACTGCATTCTCCTTTTTATCTTGATGTACTATACTCTCCATTTTATCCTTCACTCGAAGATCTTGTTTTTTATTTTTTCCTTCATTCCTTATTGCAGAAAATTCATCCTTGACCATAACCTGCTTCTACAAACCGCTGCCCATCGTCTGTGGTGAGTGAGATTATGCAGCTCATCTGCAGCGCACGTCCACGACTGCACGCACGTACGTAACAGCTGCAGCAGAAAATGGCGTGCGCAGCATCCAGCCCTCTCTCGGACGTAATTACACGGCACGTCGTAGATCTCTCCCGTGAAGCGGCTGGCTGTTGCGGTTGGCTATTGGTCGTTGGCCGAGAGTATTAGCGACCGAGTGCTGCCAAGATAAGAGAGAGCAAGAACCGGACTGCAGACATCGTCAACCGTTCCCCCACGCAAAAGTACAACCTTTGTGTCTTCCACGATACAAGGAAATACGGCATCCCGTCGTCTCTCCCAAGCTAAACCGCTAATCGGCGGATGAGTAGTCGGGTCGGTGATGAAAGCGAATACCCGCTGCAGCACGTTTTGCCAGATTTTTGCCAATTGTTATCTTTTTAAGAACAGTTGCGCATGTGGACGTACATATACATAGATATAAAGATGCATGTTAGCTGCAGTAGTTCCCGCACGTGTCCTTTGCGTATTCCTCCAATCGAGGTTGCGCTTCTTCGGTGGGGGTCACAACGTCAACCTTCATGTCGAATGTTTTTACATCTCCCTGCCAAGATATGTTTCCGCGCGAGACTCATCCCGCCATGCGACATTGTTGCTTCACGGGTGTCTGACGACACCAGACTGAATCATATCGCGAATCTGTCGAAGCTGAGCGCATCCGTATTATTCTATTCCATGTTATATAACCGTATTCACACGCCCTTTTAGTGCACATATATCATCGTGCCGGCATCGCCAATCACCGACCAGAACTCTTCCACCAGCTCGCGGCCCCCTGACGGCGCACCACGCACCGCCAGGTACAGCCGGCTGTCCAGTGCCGGCTCCCAGTCGCCTGGGTTGCCGCTGGCCACGAACCCGCCCGCCTCGGACAGGATGCACCACCCGGCGCAGACGTCCCACGCGTAGCACCCGCCCTCCCAGTAGCAGTCCAGCTGGCCGGCTGCAACGGCACAAAAGTTGAGCGCCGCCGAGCCCAGAGACCGCAGGCTGTGGACCATGGCATTCTTGCCAATGGCCCCCTCCTTGGCGGCCTCCTCCTTGGCGGCCGCCAGGCGCTGGAACACGCCGACCTTGAGGTCAAAGTTGGCGCCCTGCCGGTCCGAGCCCCACTCAATCGCCACGAGCGCCGAGCCCAGCCCGCTCAGCTCCGGCGCCTCTTGCACGTCGCCGCGGCCCACCAGCGGCAGTCGCAGCTTCTGGCTGGCCACGGTGCTCCCGTTGCTCCCGTCCGGCCCCGGCGCGTTCCGGCTCAGAGACGCATTGCGCTCCATAAACGAGCCCTTCCCCTTGATGCCCGTGTACAAGACGTCGAGGAACGGGTTGTAGACGACACCGACGACCGGGCGGCGGCCGACCGCGAAGCCGAGGCTGATGCAGGCGTGCGGGAAACCGTGGACAAAGTTGGTGGTGCCGTCGATCGGGTCGACAATGAACGTGGGCGCATCCGTGACGCGCGTCTCGCCGGCGACGTACGTCTCCTCGCCGACAAATTCGCACGTCGGGTAGTCGGCGCGGAGACGCGCATAGACCATGCGCTCGACGGCCTGGTCGGCTTCTGTGACGAGATCCACGGCTGAGGCCCATTCGTCAGCACGGCAGTTTCATTGACACCCTTGCTCCGGGCCCCTAGGCTTCCCACTCACAGTTCTTCTTGGTGCCCTTGGGGATGTTGTTGGGGTCCGCCGCCAGGATCATGCGGCCCGCCTCAAAGGCGACCGACACGAGCGTGTCATGCACCGCCTGCAAGTCAATGTCGGCCATTGTCGTGTGTGAGTGGTGTGGAGGAGGCTGGGTGTTGGTAAAGATGTAGCAATGCTATTTTCAGCACAATTGGCGAGGTGAGGATCAAATTAAGAAAGGATGACGGATGAGGCTCGACGAGCGACTGTGTCGGCCGCATCACTTAGTATCTCGCGAAAATTATAGTGGGGTTGTTGGGGAGGGGTCGCTAAAAGACGGCGCTTGGCACGTCAAATCCCAATGGCGAGAGGTGATGTCACAAACGCGACAGCTCATTCGACGAGTTAAGGATGCTGCGCACATCACGGCAATGAGAGACGCGAAGTATGAATGAGAATAATAGGATAGAGCAACACCAAAAAGACTTTAAACCCAAGAAACGACACATACCAATGACACAGCAGCTCGAATAAAAAGGAAACTCAGAAAAGAACACCCGCCAAAAAAAACCTGTGTTTTTATACGCCAGAAACGCCTTTCCGCCTTTTCAAGACATGGGATTCTGCGCGCCTTTGCACCAGCCCACTGAAACCCAAAAGCCAATGTCAAAAATAAAGCCAAACAAAGCCAAAACAGATGGGAAAACGAAGCCAAGAAGCAAAACCAAAGTATACTCAATACGACCCACATTCCAATGATTTCAGAGAGACAAACAGTGGGTTAAAAAAGACGGTCAATAAAGGCAGAACCTGCGCATCTCATATCCCTGTTGGAATCGTGGCCGCGGGTCTTCAATTGGTATTCGACCAGCCGCCCACGTCGCCTGCCCACAGCCCCTGTGGCCACTATACCGTCGTTCCCACAGTGTCTATACGTTCTCGTGGAACATGGACCGGCGCTCCGTCGGGCTCTCGGGATTGTGGCT